TCCTATCTCCTTAGTCAGAGGGAGAACTATCATCCTGCTTAGCCCAGAGGGTTTGTACCAATGGCTTCTCATGTTTATTTCAAGCCAGAAATGAACAATATTTGCAAGAGGGCAGCAGGACATTGTCCTGATCCTGACACAGTTCATAGCAAACACCTCAGGAGTGCCGAGGGGAACCTGGGACAGCAGGACTTGTCAACAGCAGGACAGGCAGCTGGAACTGGGCCTTCCTACTGACCCTCAGCTGCTTCCACACTTCTCTGCACAGCCCCTGTGCATTGGCATCTGTGCTGCTGAGAAGGACATGACCCTGCCAGGACCCTGGAGAGTTCCCCCTGTGCCCAGTTTTCTGCTCTCTGGAATCCAGACCCCTGGGTGTGGGCAGACCTCTCTCCTGCTCACCTCTCCTAAGCCAGCCAGCACTGTGCATGTGGGCTAAGACCTGGTCCTCCCTCTGTCCCTGAGTCTAACGCAGAGTACAGGGTTCCACAAATTCACGACCTAACCATAGTCTTAGCAAAAAAGATGGGAAACCAGGCCTTGGCTCACCTGTCCATGTCCACTTTCATTTCTGAACACACCTCAGCAAGTCAGACTGAGTGCCCACTCACCAGATGGGTTTTTCCCCACACTGTGCCACCTTGGCACAGGGCTGTCTGTAGTGCCTGAAATCTGCCAAAATGAGACCAAATGTGTGCTCAGCCTGGGCCCTTCATATTGAGGTGTGACTCTGTCATACCCTATGAAATCAACCAGCAATTAAAAAGTGGGAGATAACCCTACTATGTAGTAAGGGGTTCATTATCTTATCTGTACATGTACCTCAAAATACCCACCACCAGAGGATAAGACATACTTTTTTTTTGACTATAGGTGGAATTAAAAAGAAAAGAAAGCCTCTAGGCTGCAGTGTCCCAGCCTCCCTCCTCCCTGGGAGCCTCTCTCTGTATCTGGGATTTTGTTATCTTTCAGGGAAAGTGGCTTTAAGGTTGACACAACTGGAACAACAATAATAAGAACTATTTTTGTGCAGGGCTTTGCAGTGCTTACACTGACAACCTTATTTATCCCTACAAGCTTGTGAGGAGCAAACAGGGGAAAGAGGTTGATATCTGGAGGACAGTGTAATCTTGGGCAAGCTGTGCAACCTTTCTGTAGAGCTTCAGCTCCTTCCCATGGGAAACTGGTTGTAGAATTGAGCTGTGTGTGCCAAAAGTTTAGATTAAGTGTGACCATGAGTTTTCCAAAAAGTGAGGAAATCAAATTGCTGATGAGCTCTGTAGCTACATGAGGAAGCTGGCATTGTGCAACTGAAGCTGTAACGCACCGCAGCCTGCCACACACATCCTGGAAACAGCCACCACCGTGTGGGAGCAGCTAACACGTTTAGTACTTCCGTAAGTTAGGCAGGTCCAAGTCCTCTGCATGCATTTTCTCATTTTTCTTCACAATATTTCTAAGAGGTAGGTTGGCAAGGTTATTTACCTTTTGCAGATGAAGGTAGAGGCTCAGCCAGGTGTGATGGAGCAGCCTTATATTCCTAGCACTCTAGGAGGCTGAGGCAGGAGGATTGAAAATTCAAGGTCTGCCTGGACAAACTTAGTAACTTAGACCCTGTCATAAATAAGTGATTAAAAAAGTGTTGGGGCTGTAACTCAGTACCAAGTGCCTGTGTTCAAGCAACAGTGTGTGTGTATGGGAGGGAGAGACTCAAGGGTTAAATATATGCTCCAAGTCACACAGCTCTAAGTTTGGACGTGGCTTTATACCCATCTTCATGCCCTGCCAGGTGGGCTCGGTGGCCAGACCTCCACCCTTTTCTCACCTTTTGGCCCCATCCTCGATGGTCTCTCCTTCTTGTATCTTGCCCCCGAAGCCATTCCAGCGGCCAGCTCCGAAGCCCCGCTTCTTCATGCCCAGCAGCACGCGCTGAGGCTGCAGCACCAGCACCAAGGAGTAGAGCTTGGAGGCACCCATGGCTCCCTGGGACTCTGTGAGCAAGTGGAAGAGCAGGGTCAGCCTCGAGGGGAGCATGGGCAGCTGTGGGTGCAGCATGAGTGCAGGATGGTGGCCTGCTGGGAAGAAGATGCACTCTGGGAGATGGAAATTACCTAGTGATAATTTCCCAGGCCTGTGACACGCAGCTTGGCTGGCAGCAGGTACAAAACCACCCTTGAACCAATTATGTTCTGGGCCAGACAAGCCCACCACCAGCATCCAGCAGCAGAAGTGTCTCAACTTCCTTTCCCACTTGGTACTCTTGGCTATATAGGACAGCGCAACCTTCCCAAGGCTGACTTGTTGCTCTGTATCTACCTTAGGACCCCCAAGTCTATATGCCACAAGCAGGGCAGGCTAGTCCCCAGACAGCCATGCAATTTACTGTGATTTTTGTAGCCTTGTTCTTTTCATTCACAGGGGCTCCTTCCAGCCCATTGGGACCTGACTTTGCAGTAACAGACACCCAGAGTTTTAGGAAGTGCCCAGCTCCAGATGGGCAGCTCTGCTTTCCTGTACAGGAAGGCCTATCTCAACTCTGCACTTACTGTTGGTGAGGGGCGGCTTCCTGATCCCACAGGTGTTCATGGATCAGAGAAAGATCAAGTGCGTGGGCATGCATTTGTGGTGCCTTTGCCAGGCCCTGGTGGAGATAGGATCTAGTTTTGGCCTGAGGAACCATACCTGTTTAGAGTGGGATTCTGAACCAGGGATCCTTCTTGGAGGTTATGGTGTCTAAGAAAAAGGACCCAAGCTGAGGCCTATGGTGGGGTTGTCAGGCAGGGCAAGTGGGCTGGGGCTGGGCTTCCCTTGAGGCTTTATCTGTCCTGATAATGACCTGTCTGTACCTGAGGCCCTGACGTCCCAACTCCAAACCTGTTGCTGCTAGCAACAGTCCCTTACTAACCACTAACTATATATAGCTGCTTTTCTGTATTTCTAAGAGTGTGGTTCCAGGGCTCCCTCAGATACCAAAATCTGAAGATGCTCCTGTTATTAGCAGACAATAGTATGCCTGAGGGATTGGGATGTGAGGGGAAGGCTGGTGTTCAAAACAGCATGCATTACCAGATAATTAAAGAAAAGCTTCAGTGTATAATGCAGTTATGATCATCTGTTAAGGTTTGCAATCTAAAGCAAACCCACATAGCACAATGTTATATTAAGGTTATGCAATGTGCACATTCCTTCTGATACCTGGCTATCTAACTCCAGAACAAGGCACACTGCATTCCTGGCTGTCATAGCCCACAGCACAGTTATCAGAAAGGGAAATGTTCTTTAAAGAACGTCCTGGGGCTGGGAATTTAGCTCAGCGGCATAAGCGCCTGCCTTGCAAGCAGGCAGTCGTGAGTTCGATCCCTGGTACCAATAAAAATGAAAAAGACAAAAAAAAAAAGGAACTTCCTGTGTTGGTCTGGGACCCGGTTTAAATTAATAATCTATCTTTTTAAATTTCTTACATGCTTAAAGCCCCTGAGGAAATACAAAGAGATATTTTGTGATTTTTAAGTAACTTGTAAGTGAAAATGCAAGAAGCAGGCTGGGAATTTAGCTCAGTGGCATAAGCGCCTGCCTTGCAAGCGTGCAGTCTTGAGTTCGATCCCTGGTATCAAAAACAAAGCAAAGCAAAACAAACAAACAAAAAACACAAGAAGCATCCTGATTACCCCAGTTCCCTAGATCCCAGGAGTGACTAACTCTTGGGTACATAAAAATGTACACAAACTCCCATCCAGTGTAGATGTCTTCCTACGACTGCCTGTATTCTTGCTAGAATGAGTAAATATCTCTTTAGGTACTTCACAAAAAATCCTATTTTTCTGTACTGCCTATGTGGTCTTATCTGAATTCTTGCATCAAATACACAAAGAACTGAGGGCCAAGAAAGTGAGGAATCAGTTCCTTAAGGTACCAGGACCCTGCTTTCTGGTAACAATATCCCTTAAGTAAAATCCTGTAACATTTTAACTTAACTTTTTTAACTTTTTATTGGTACCAGGGATCGAACTCAGGACCGCCTGCTTGCAAGGCAGGTGCTTATGCCACTGACCTAAATCCCCAGCCCCTAATCCTGTAACATTTGTGCATAACCTATGCACATCCTCTTGTATACAATGTGAATGTCATGTAAACAGTTATGCTGTACCATTTAGGGAATGATAAAAATGTATCACCACTGATAAATTATTTTTGAGATTTTTTTATACACGTTAAATTGATGCTGAACCCAAGGATACAGGAGGCCAGTGTATTTTCAAGTTATCCTTCATGACAGACCCAACACTGACAAGAGTGAAGGTTTACTTTCCCCAATTTTAGAGAAGGCTGAAGCTCAGTCTGAGTTAACCCAAGGTTGTAAGGCAGGGGGAGAAACTAAACCTGGCTGTACAGGATGCCAATGTCTAATATGTCCACAGATGATGGGTAAATCAGAGGGTCCTCAAGGAAGTCCCTGGTGCCTAGGGTTGGGTGCTGGCAATCCTGCTCCTTAACCACGCGGCCTCGTAAATAGAGGCTGTTAACAGGGCTGAAGGCAATCCAAGTGTGTGGCAGTGCTCAGCCATGCATACAGTGGGCACTTGGTAAATGCTGGACATCCATTAGCTGTGCCTAGTATTGGATCCCAGACACCGGTTCCCCATTCGCGACCCCCACCCTCACCCCCAGACAACCTCTGGCCCAGCTCACCCTGACCCACTGATTGACCCTATTATTGTTTCCCTGGTACTCCTCCAACCTCCGAGCCTGGAATGCTCCAATCCCATCTCCCTTCCCTGGGTCGCCTCTGGTACTTCTTGGTCTCTCCAGACCCCCTGTCTCCACGCTCACCCGCTTTCAATCACCCAGTCCCGGGCTTTCCCAGTCTCTGGCTAACAAGTCGCGCGCCATCCACACCCGTACGCAGCTTCCGGGGTTGTAAGGGGCGGGCCTTGAACCGGAAGTGGGACAGGGACTTCCGGTGGCGCGCCGGGACGGGAGGTGGTGTTCACGGCTGGGTGATTTGGACCCATGCTGCTTTGCTTGCGGGGAAACGGGTGAAGTTGGGTCTCCCAGTTTCATTCGACGAAGAGGTTCTGGCCCACTCTGGCCCGGGGTTCGGGACGTGAAGCCGAGCGATGGGTCCCGGTCGCAGCCTATCCTCGGGAATCACAGGGTCTGTGAAGGGAGGTAACTGAGGCCGAACGCAGACTTGGGGTTTTCTTGTAGTCTTGTAGAACACAGTGAGAATTTGTTTTGGCTTTTGTTAGCGGGTCTCGCTATGCAGCTCAGGCTGACCTCAAGGTGAGTTCAAACTCACTGTGTAACCCACAGGTTACTCTCGAACTCACGGCGATTCTCCTGTCTCAGCCTTCTGAGTGCTGGGATTACGGGCATGCGTCAACACCCCCAGCACAGTGTGAATTTCAGCCAGACAAGGAAAGAATATTCCTTTCATTAATGCCAGTACTGTTAACCAGTACTGGGAATCCGCTGATCATTATAAATGAGGTGATGTTTGAGTTTTCCTTCTGAAGAAACCTTCAGGGGGAGAAAAAGCCCTTCTTGAAAGCAGAAACCTGTACACTGTCAGCTGCTAGGTTCCTATAATGAAGCAACGCGGACCCAGCACCTTAAACACAGACATTTCTTTCTCACGTTCTGGAGGCTTGAAGGCGCAGATGTGCCTTCAGGATGTGGGCAGGGTTGGTCCCTCCTGAGGTCTCTCCTCGGTTTCTGGATGCCATCTTCTCCCCGTGTCTTTATGTGGCCATCCTTCTGTGTTTGTGTCCTAATCTTAGAAAGGACACCAGTTGAACTGGATTAGGGCCTACCCCAATGATCACATTTTACCTTAATTATCTGCTAGAAGACCTTATCTGTAACTACAGCCGTATTCCTGGGAAACATGAGTTTGAGAGGGCCAGAGTTGAGCAGGGCATTGTCAAACCACCTCCTCTCTTTGGGCCTTTGCTCCATTTCTAAAAATGAGTGGGTTGGGCTAGAGACTCCTGGACTTGTGACCTCATCAGTGTGATGCTAGCCTGCTTGCACCCTTTCCTCACACTAGGTGTTGGAAACTGCTGTGTGCTCTCCGTCATGAGAGGTTCCACACTGCTGCACAGCACTGCAAGGGCCGGACAGGCACTGAGCACCTGTGGCTGATGCGACATTTAAAGGACCCCTATGTGAAAGCTGCCAAGGTGGAATGTTACCGCTGTCGGAGTGCCTTCAAACTCCTGGAGATCAACAAGAAGCACAAGATTCTACGACCTGGCCTCCGGGTGTTGGACTGTGGGGCAGCTCCTGGGGCTTGGAGTCAGGTGGCAGTGCCGAGGGTCAATGCCACAGGTACAGGTAGGGCCTCCATAGTACCATCAGCACCTTCTGATCACTGTGAGGCTGAGGGGATGCTAGCGAGCTGCACTCTCTTGGGAATATGGAGAAGTTGAGTCACTCTCAGAAGTACCTACTTCTGAGGTGATGGTTTAGGAATAATGATAAAAACAACACTCACTTTTTCAAAATGAAAAACAGGGACTGCGCATATGACTTTGTGGTAGAAGCTTGCCAAGGGTGCACAAGGCCCTGGCTTCGATCCCCAGCTCCACACAGTCACAAAGGCAAAACAGAAATTCAGAATGAAAATTAAAATCTCGCGGGGCATGGTTGTTTGATCGTGTAATCCCATCACTTGGGAGGCTGAGGCAGGAAGATCACTGTAAGTTTGTGGGCAGCCTAGGCCACATAGTGAGACCCTATCTCAAAGGAAAAAAAAAAGGTCAACTCATATCACCCAGTATAGCACTAATATGTATTCCAGTTTTTTAAATTTATATTTACAGTGTTAGCTATTGGTCTTAAAGGAGCTGCTTATTTCTCTGATGATATATATTCGCATCTTTCCGTGACAGTATAGCTAAGTCAACCTGGAGGCTTACCAAACCTGAGGCTCACCATCAGAGCTAAGGTTCTCCTCAGTGGAGGGAAGTGGTGGGCCCTGGCAAAAGCCAGCTTTGGGTGCAGTTATATACTGGAAGTCTTGTTTCAAAGTTAGGTGGAACTGGCATCTTTTTATAACCTTTCCCTCAAGTATGCACAAGCTATCAGTTTTTGTGCTTCATTTCCCATCTCTGGATTTCTGAGTTTCTGCATTGAAAAGAATTGGATTAAGCTGGAGGATGGATTCATGGATTTAATCCCAGTGGGTCATTTTCTGTTTTGTTTTTATGTAAAAGACTGCTCAGAAGAAGCCCACAGAGAGGGAACCTCAGGTAACAAAATGACAATGGAATGGGAACTAGAAGTCGTAGCTGTGGCCCCAACTCACCTGTCACTCAGGATGACTAGAATAACAACTTCCTTTTTGGACCTTCGTGTCCTTAGCTGACTGCCCTTCCCCCACTGCAGATCATCATAAGATGTTTAGATAGTATGCATGGTTGCACACTGGCTCTCTTAATCAGCCCTGACATTATTCCGTTAGTTTGTGTGATACAATTTTGTGGGAGAATTTACATTTACTGTTTCTTTCATAGATCCCAGCTCTCCTGTTGGCTTTGTGCTTGGGGTAGATCTTCTTCACATCCACCCTCTGGAAGGAGCAACTTTTCTGTGCCCTGCTGATGTGACTAACCCTAAGACTTTCCAGAGAATCATGGAGCTGCTTCCTGGTGGGAAGGCAGATGTGATTCTCAGCGACATGGCACCCAATGCCACAGGGATCCGGGACCTTGATCATGACAGGCTCATCAGCATGTGTCTGACCCTTCTGGACATGGCTCCAGACATTCTGCACCCTGGTGGAACGTTGCTTTGTAAAATTTGGGCTGGAAGTCGGAGCCATTGGTTACAGAAGAGACTGACTGAGGAGTTCCAGAGCACAAGAAATATAAAACCTGAGGCCAGCAGGAAAGAGTCATCAGAGGTCTACTTCCTGGCCACCCAGTACCGCAGAAGGAAGAGCTCTGTGAAGCAGTGAACTTTCCTGCCACTGTTACAGATCTTTTATGCTAAGTTTCTGTCTTTCATGGGTACTGGGTCCTTTTGAACTTCAAGTAGAGCTTGGATGTTTTCTTGAGTAGCTGAGATTAGAGTTTAGTCTGAGAGATGAGTAGGACCATGGGGAGCCAGTTTGGTTTTCAAAATGGAAAAGATATGACAAAATACCTAAGGGGGATGAAAGATTGAAATTTAAAACACCAATGTTTCGTACCATGATTTTGTTGTTGTTGAGGCAGGGTCTCACTATGCAGTTCAGGCTGGCCTTGTGCTCATTTTGAGCTCAGGATGGTCTCGAACTTGCAATGATCCTCCTGCCTCAGCCTTCCGAGTGCTGAGATTATAGGTGTGTGCCACTATATGTATATATCATGATTTTTGAGGAGAAAGTTATCAGAAAAATAGGTGGAGATTGAAGGATGTAAAGAGGCAGACGGAAGGGAGGATTAAAACAGATTGAGGCAGTGATGAACATTCCCACATAGGCCTTTATGGAGCTCCTCAGCTTACCGAACATTCATTGATGGTGAACCTTTTACAGCTTTCAGTGATGCAAACAGCACACTGTGGCATGGGTTCACCACCACTGTTGAAGATTAGCATGTTACACAGGAATGGTGTTCATCTTGCTTTCAGAACACAGTATATAGATTTGAGGTTATTGTAGCTAAACTGCATAAATAAAAAAAATACCCTGGAGTTTTCATCTGGGAGTTGATTACCATCTCTGGTGAATAATCTGGAAATACATCCATTCTTCCAGCACAGAGTTCCTAGGCTTTTAGAGGAGACATTTGGTATGAATGCATGCGCGGGGTGTGTGCACGTGCTATGCTCTGTGCTCTGATTTGCTGGGATTATATGTAATACTCCAGTCTTCCAAGACCATAAAGGTATCTACAAGAACAAGCAGTGATGTGGTGTGTTCATTTATTTTCTTTCACTCTTTCAGGGAAGCAAAACTTTATCAAAGAATATAGATTGCATTACATCAAAGGGTCCTCATGCTTTTAAGTTTTTCTTTTAATTGCTTGGTTTCTTTAAAGCCATTTCCTGGAGGCGCCCTCATCCCTCAGGAGGAGTCTGTTGGCTGTAAGGATGATTTCACACTGAGAACTAGTAGGAAAGACAGGCTATTTCGGGATGTAGACCAAGGTCGACGAAAATCACTAATCCCTGAAGTGAACTGGGTCAGATACTTTTACTTCCACTTAGTTTTGCGTTGCAGTCCGGAAGTTAAGCCCCAGTCTGCAGTCAGTCTGTCCGCCCATTCCTCCCCCTTTCCATTTCATTCGTGGAGCACACAAACTTGATGGTCTCGTCTTCTGGAAAAGACTGAAAGTTCAACGCAGACCTTTGGCAGTGTCACCGTCTAAGTCCGGATTAGGTGGTGGAAGGAGAAGGGTGTAAATCAAAATCACTGTTCTGGGGAAAATCCCCGCTGTCAAGCCTGGAAAATGTAACTCACGGGTGATCTGATCTTCCTACATTGGATGCTGCTCTGGCAAAGGTCTCGCGGTCTGCTTTGAGGGCGTGGAGAGCTCTAGGAAAGCAAATACTCTGTATTTCAGTAGTAAATTATAAGGTTATATGCAAATGCACGCTGCTAAGATTCTGAGAAGCGTCAAGTGTGCTGAGAAATTTGTCCCCAAGAGGCCACTGTGGGGCGGTGCTATTTCACACACTACGGTGGGAGCCAGGCGGAGGTTGTGGAAGTGCGTCCCGAACGTTAGTGGAAGCTGGCCGACCGTGCCGAGGTTCGGCCTTTGGTTTCCAGTCCTTTCGGGGGGCCTTCCTGGAGTGGTCGGCTCGGGGTACGGACGCAAAAACCGTGGCTCAGAATTAGCGGTGCGTAGACTCGGTTCTTTATGATCGGCTTCCTTTGGGTCTCGCGAGAGTGCTGCGGCGACTCTCGCGATAAGTGGGCGCGGGTGAAGCGGAGGGAGATCCGAGCAGCGGCGGCAACAGCTAGCGCAGAGCTAGGTGAGCGGCTAGGGGCGGGGTGCATGGTCCCAGCAGCGGGTTCCCGAAGGTAGGGCACAAGAGCAACCCCCTTCTCTAGTCCCGACATCCCCGGGACCCCGTGCTGGGTTCGCGCTGCCCGGAGTTCGTGGCGCTCCTCCTGCCTCTGCTGTGCTAGTTGGCTTCTGTGCGGCGCTCGGGACTCCTGACCTGTGTTCGCTTTCTTTTAGCCTAGGTTCCCACCTGTCATCCTCCTGGCCCAGGTCTGCACAAGGACACTCTGGAGACCCGTGACCTGTCTGCCCACTCTAGGCACGGGCCCCATTCCAGCTCCTCCTGACTGGGGGACACCCGGAGACTCAAGACCTGACCTTGCCTCTCTAGGCATGGTCTCCATCTCTGCTCTTTCTGGCCTGGGTCTGCATGGTCTCCACCCCGAAGACTGTCAGACTTGTTCTTGTCCATTCGGACACTGTACCATTCCCTTCCTGCTGGCTGAGATCTGCATGGTCCCTCACTCTTGAGATCCCAGACTTGTTCTCTCCAGGTACCACCCCCACCCCGTTTCTGCTGGCTGAGCTCTTTATGGTGCCCAACCCTGGAGATCCTCTGACCTGTCCCCACCCCCTTTAGGCACTGTCCTCTTGCCTGCTTCTTCTTGCTGGGATCTGCAAATTTCCCTACCTTGGATACTTCCTTGGTCTGCCCTGGCCACTGGTAGTGGTTTGAAGCTCCTCCCTCTCTGTGGCATGAGGCCTAAATTGAATGGGTGGACCCAGCTAATGTTTGGTGAAGTGGTAGAGGCCGCTGTCCAAGGGTGACTTCTTACCCCACTGTCTCCCAGGCTGGCCAGGCCTGCCTGTGTTGGTGTGGCAGATGTGATTGTTGCTGTTCTTTTGTATTCAGTGGAGGAACTGTGTAGAGAGAGCCACCAGTGGGATCTGTAGAGGGTGCATGTGTTTGGACAAGGCAAGTGCGGAGTATTCAGGTGGTAGGATTGTTGATCACTTTTTAGGTTTCTGCCCCCATCCTTTGCTTGCTTGCTTGTTTTTTTTTTTTTTTTTTTTTTTTTTTTTTTTTTTGAGAGAGAGAGAGAGTGAATGCGTTTGGCTATGCAGCTTTGGATGACCTTAAATTCACTATACCCTAGGCTGGCCTTGAAGTCTCTGGTGATCTTTCTGCCTCAGCCTCCTGAATGCTGGCATTACAGGAGTGCACCACCATGCCTGACAGCCATCCTCTTACTGAAACCCTTAGGACAGTATGCTCCTGTCTCCCAGCTGAGGAATTCTCCAGAGCAGTTGAGGTTTTGAGGCCAGCTGGCTGGAAGGTCTGAGTCTCCGTAGAATATAGCCTGATGGTGTGCCTATGGGACAACCTGGTTCTAGGAAGTTGAAAATGCAGTATTCTTTTCCTCTTTATACCTTTCTTTCTGTCTTTCTTTCTCTTTTTTCTTTTTTTGCTGTGCTGGGGATTGAACACAGGACTTTACATATACTAGGCAAGTGCTGTGCCCATGTATGGGCTGCACCCCCAGCCCATACATGCAGTATTTTTTCATCTAGTGTGTTAGTGGGTCAGTACTCAGGGTTGGCATCTGGAAAAGAGGAGAAAAAGTGTGGTCCCGGTCTGATCTTGGCAGTGTAGAACTCTGCTGCATCCTACCATGCAGGCCTGGTCTGTCAGGTTCACAGCACCAGGAGAGCCTGTCCGTCTCCTTCTCACCCACTTTCTCTGGGTGATATGTGTGAGAGGGTACTTGACAAGGGTCTTGTTAAATGGGAAACTCAGTAAAAGGAAGCAAAGATTCTTAACTTTTTTTTGTGTGTGTGTGCTTTTTTTTTTTTTTTTTTTTTTGTCTTTTTCCTTTTTATCGGTACTGGGGATTGAACTCAAGACTGCCTGCTTGCAAGACAGGCGCTTATGCTACTGAGCTAAATCCCCAGCCCCAGATTCTTAACTTTTTAAAAATTTTTTAAAACTTTTTTTTTGTTTTTCAAGATAGGAACTTGTTCGGTTTCTCAGACTGGCCTTGAATTCAAGATCCTCCTGCCTCAGCCTCTCTAGTAGCTGGGATTTTTTTTTTCCTTTTGAGGGTTTGTGTGTGTTTCAATCTGAATTTTTTTTTTTTTTTTTGTCTTTTTTGAGACAGGATCTTGCTATGCTGGACTTGGGCTCACTTTGTAGCCCAGGCTGGTCTTGAATTTGGGACGATTCTTACGCCTTAGCTTCCTGAGTGCTGGAATTACAGGCATGCACCATCACGCCTGGCTCGGATTTTTTTTTTTTTTTAATTTAAAGGGAAATCAGCATGTTGCCTAAAAGCAATCAACTAGAATTGCCTCTTCCTAAGGAGAGAAACACTATATATCTTGGAGCACATGCTTTTTGTCTCTAAATGTACATGGCATGTTTCACTGGTCATAGGTGTGTTATGTGTGAGTGTGTGTAAAACTGTAGTAAGCACCGGTAGTTGGGGATGCAGAGATCTTTGTAGCTGCTGGCCATAGACCGTTTATATGTAGGCTTGTGGAACATAGGCAACCTTCAGAGCCACTAAGACCTGATTTGGATCTCTTCTGTGCCTTTCTGAAGTCTGTTTGGTCTTCTGTATAACCTATGTAAGGACACTGAATTCATCAAGTCTTGTGAAGACTGAACTGTTGTTGGAACTGTATAAGCAGAGTGTTGGTGAAACTGGCCTGCAATTGTGTACCACCTACAGTTTCAAAATTCAAGGCATTGACTGTGGTCCTCCCAGCAGCTTTGCAAAGCGGGTTATCACTGAGGCAGATTTCAAATGAGGAAAGTGAGGATCAAGAAGTGTGTTAGCTAAATATGGATACTTCTTTCTGGTGCCTGGCTGAAAGGAGTGATTTACTGACATTGTGATCATAATTGATTACTGTCACCCTTACGACCCTGGTGTAGGCTTTCTTTCCTGTACAGTCCCAGAGGTCAGATGTGCTCCTGCTAAGCAACTCTTTGGAGCTGCCTGTCCCTGTGGGTTGTCAGATCAGCCCTGTGACAGTAGCTTGGTGGCTGGGGGTTGGCAGTATGCTTTTATGGCTCATTTTCTGTCAGGTAGATTGGTGGTATGGGCTCCGAGATAACTGAAGAACATGGTCGTGGGCTCTGGTAGGGTGTTGGCGGGAGTGGACTGTGTAGAGGCACTGCAGATGGTGGCGCCTGATGGCATGTGGGGACGCTGACTCTGACCCTTCTTTTGTCTCCCAGTAAGTAGGCAGCCATGGAAGATCTGGGGGAGAACACCACTGTCTTGTCCACCCTGAGGTCCTTAAACAACTTCATTTCCCAGCGAGTGGAGGGAGAGTCTGGCTTGGATATGTCCACTTCTGCCTCAGGTTCTCTACAAATGCAGTACCACCAGAGCATACAGGTGAGTGATGGTGCTGGGCCGGTGGTCTCAGGCTCACACCGGGCCTATTCAAGTTCTCGCAGTTAGGCAGGCCAGTATTAGGTCACCCTGGAGGCCAGCCGGCTGTCTTCCAGATCTCACTGTGGGCATTCACCATTTTGGGGTGATAATCTCAAGTCTAGGCCCTGCCTTTACTAAAGACCTGCCTGCTTAGCACCCCATGAGTAGGTGTGCTCACACTTAAGGACTCATGGACACTAATGATAGTAGGGTCTGAAAGTTTCTTCACTTAATTGAGGATAAAACTCAAACTCCCTGGAAGCGTGAGCTCCAGAATTGTCCATCCAGGGTGCTGTCCTCTCAAAGATGTGACATGGAGAGACACAGGTACCAAGCAGCAGAACTGGGTATGTCACCTTTTTAGCCTATGGAGGGGTATATGCAGATTTTGGGGTGATTTTTGCAGTTAACTTGGTTATAGTCATACTTCACTTCACCTAAAGTTCTTGTGAGTTCTGTGGATCCAGTTGCAAAGGACTCAGGTCTCCTTAGGAGCCATGGGGTTTGTCCCACTTGCGGCTAGAGTGTCTGGGCCCCCAAGGAGGGAGAGGTGTCTTTCACTGCACCAGTGGCCGTAGTAGGCTGGCTTCCCTGTACACACCCTGCATGTGCTCTGAGGCATTCTGTCATGATGGCCTGTGTCAGTTGAGCTGGCTACTTCCTATCGCTCTCAGTCCTGCTGAGGCCTGTGCACTGCTTGACTAAAGGGTCAGGCTTTGTACGTGTTGGTTTGCTGAGTGATGGAGTTCCTATTAGAGCACAAGGTTGCTCACTGCCCTTTCTTGGCAAGGTCTATTCTTTATTCAAGGTTAGGCTTTTATATTTCAATTTATTAACACTCATGGCTTCTGCCTACTAAATGCCAGTGGCAGACACATTCTATTCATCTGTGACAGTTACAAGTGTCTCCAGACAGTGCCCTAAGTCCCCTTGGGGCAAGGTTGTCTCCTGTGGGAAACCATCCCTCTAGCCCAATGGTTCTCTTGCTTTCAAATACAGTTAAATGTGGCTGGAGGCGATGCTGACTCAGTAAATGTGGGTGCAGCCTGAGGTTCTGCATGTGCGTCTCTACAGCTGGCTGGCAAAGGCTCTGGCTCACAGGGAGTCACTGATGCAACTGTATGATGCATTGTCTGAGACCCTCTGAAATTCGTGTTACCTGTCTTTATCTACCCCTCTGACTAGGCTGATTTCTAAGATAGTATCCTAATACCAGGTCCTGGAAGACACTAACCTTCTATGCCTTCAGTCCAGTACTAACTAGGTGTTGCTGCAGATATAATGGGATTTTACAGATATCATTAAGGTCTTGCCAGGCATAGTGGCTTTCAGTACTCTGGAAGATTCAAAGCTTGAGCCCACCTGCGCGATTTAGTAACTTAGTGAGACCTTGTCTCAAACAAATGAAAAAGGGCCGGGGATGTAGCTATGTGGAAAGGCACTGAGTTTAATCCTGAAAGGGAGAAAAAGGAGTCCCTGAGTGAGGCTGACCTAATGACAGGGCCTTTTAAGAGTCTGCATCTGAGCTGGGTGTGGTGGCACATGCCTGTATTCTCCGCACTTGGGAGGCTGAGGTAGAAGAGTCACAAAGAGTTCAAAGCCAGCCTGGGCTACATTTTGAGTTCAGGGTCAGCGTGAACTGCAAAGTGAGATTCTGTCTTAAAAAAAAATAGTCTGGGTTCAGATTTCAGAGATAGAGAAGTCAACAGCAGAGAGACTGGATTCAGAGCAGAAGTGGGAGATGGTATATTTGTGGCCCTAAAGACACTGGCTGTTCCTGGTGCTGACTGCAGCAGGAGATGGACTTTGGTTCTCTACCTGGGTGCTTCCCAGAGGGTCCTGAGTTGCAGAGAACATGTCCTGGCAGAGTGTATTTAAGGTTTTTATTCTTAAGTGCCCTGATCAGAGAACCCCTGTGTGGCCTTCGAATTGACAAAACTGTCACCACATTAATAGGTGGTGTTTGTCGCAGGTTGTTACACAGCTATAGAAAACTCATATTCCCTGTTTCCTAGAGCAGGTGCACCTGCTATCATCTTAAAATACCCCTTTCCCTTTTCATCCTTTCTTGACGTTTACTTGTTGCCTCCCACCTGTTTGTCACTTGGGTTCCAGCCTGGTGCAGGCCCTTAGGGAGTGTGTTGGGCCACTCACCTCTCACCTTGCTTAACACAGCTTCTGTTTCTCTTCTGGTCTGACCTCAGTTGGAGGAAAGAGCCGAGCAGATCCGCTCTAAGTCCTACCTCATCCAGGTGGAGCGGGAGAAGATGCAGATGGAGCTGAGTCACAAGCGGGCGCGTGTGGAGCTGGAGAAGGCAGCCAGCACCAGTGCCAGGAACTACGAGGTGGGTCCAGGTGGGGTGGGCCTGGCTATCAGCCCTGGGAGGCAGGGGCTATGCACTCTGCTTAGCAGAACCTGACCAGTGGAGGCCCGAGGGCCTCTGCATCCTGGTGCCAGGGCTTTCCTCAGAGACCACCTACTGCTGTGGATCCGGGGGTCAGCTGTATCGGGAAGGTTGCAAAAGGGAGCCCCTTGCTGCATTTGATGCTTGGTGAGGCCATGGTGTGGCAGACTCGCTTCCTCTGGGTCTCTGTTTTCTCTTCCCTCTGGAATAGAGGTCTGGCAGAAATGACAGGTGGTGCAAAGGTGACCACAGATTGGAAAAGTCACTGAGCTGTGTGAGGGTCTCAGTGTCTGTGCTGTGTCTTACGGGGGTGCATACAGATCCTCAGCCAAATGCCTCTACTTGGCGGCTGCTGGTTTGCTGGGGATGTCCCAGGACAGCTGAGAAAGCACAGCCCCATGACTCCGGGGAAGGGGGTTCTTTACTTTGTTTTGATTAACAGCTTTATGCCAGGGTTTTCAGTAAGTGCTGATCAGTTTTGGAAACGCTGCCAAGATCCAGGCAGGGTATCGGGCCAGGGAGTCTCCTGGCATCCCTGCAGGCCTGCTTCTTGCCATGCTTGCATATTCACACACTTCCTGAGTTCCTGTGCAGGTAGCTGACGTCTTCCAGGGTGTGATGCTAATTGGGTTCATTTCTGGCTGTGATGTGTTATGTGAGCTCTGTGAGCCAAGAATTTGAAGTGCTTTGTTTTAGGGCTACAGATACTGCAGCAGCACTGATGGTATAGCCCAGGCTCTCAGGCAAAGGCAGGGCTCCCGGCTACTGCAGCTTCTCTGAGTAGAGTTCCTTGAAGGCAGGCTCTGCTGCTGCCCTGGTCCCTAGTGCTCAGAAGCAGTGGTGGTACCTTGCAGGAGCTGTGGGAATGTTTGAATGAGTAAGGATTTGCTAAGGGGTCTATGCGTCTCTCTCTGTAGAACAGAAGTAGGGATGGCTGAGCTTGGATCTGTCCAGGCCAGGCTTGAGCTGCCTTTCCTTCTCTGCTCCCAGACACTGCTCACTGGGGCCCAGGAACCATTGGATTTTTCCTAGAACCTTGGGCCTCTATGTCAGTTTTTCAGGAACTGCCAGTTTGGTGGTGGGTGCGTAGGACTAGACAGGTGGTCTCTCACCTGGAAGCACCATTAGGTGGTAAGACTTCGGGGTTAAGGACTAAGGACCTACCCAAACTCGCCATCTGTACTCAGGACTGGTGATACCTACAGTTACAAGTGGTCTGGCTCCAGTTGTGCTGCTCAGGCCCTGCACAGGAAGAGTGCTTTGTTTTTTATTTTAGGGTGCTGGTGACCAAACCCAGGGTGTTGTACATGCTAAGTATGTGCCTGTCTCTGAACCTCATCCTGGTCCCTCAGTAGAACATGCTTGTTCTGCTTTGCAGAACAGTCCCCTGGCTGTTTTGAGGCTGCACGTGCAGTCTCTGTCTCCTTGAGTCCCTTTGAGGTATGCATCAGCCTTCCCTCTGAGAGATCATGACCCCATCTGTGCCTTTATTTACCCTTTCCTATTTTGGGTTGGAGTGTCCTGAACAAGGATGCTTGAGCCATTCTTCTGAGTAGGACTGGCTGTAAAAGTAAGAGGGAGCTTGTGTAGGAAGCTTCTTGCTGGGAGCAGGGCGAGAGGTCACCAGGGTGCTGGGCTGTAGGTTACCAGCATTCACTGCTTTTTTGTCCTGGGGTTTGACTCCTCCTTTGTGGTCTCTTCTCTGTGGGTAATGGGGAACCCTTTGGTTTCCCATGGATTGTTAGGGCCAGGAGGTCTGAGCTGAAGTCTTAGTTCTGTCCAGCATGAGCTGCACGGACTCCCTGAGGTGACTAGTGGTGACTCTGAAGCTGTGACTGAGAGGATGCACATTCTTGCAGATCTGGCCCAGTGTGGACCATTCTCTGTCTATAGGCTGATGTCCATTTTGCCTGTCCCTGCCCTGGTCATCTGCTTATTGAGGGAATGCCGACTCATTTGAGGATGGCTTCAGTGGGTTAGACAAGATCTGCTGGTAGTGCAAAAGCTCAGCTGTACTCCAAGGTTGATTCAGAATTTTAGATTTTCCATGCTCCATCTCTTCTTACAAAGATGATTGCTATGAGCAGACGGTGCAGTAAACAAGTGGTGTGATCCATGCCAAGTGCCCTCCTGGGGCCCTGATTTCATGTAGCGGGAGAAACTGGATGGCCTTGCTACCATGGCAGGGACACTGGCTTTGGCCCAGGCCTGCCCTGATTTGGGTTTTGGGCCTGTCTGTTTCTTCTGGGGGATCTGAGTAGCCCGTCTAAGGGAGGAGTAGGGCAGGGCAGGGCGCTGGGCACTCCACTTAGGGTTACATCTTCATCTGGCCAACTTCTCTCCTTTCTCCCCAGCGTGAGGTTGACCGTAATCAGGAGCTCCTGGCGCGCCTCCGGCAGTATCAGGACCGAGAGGCTGAAGCAGAGGAGAAGATGAGGGAGCAGCTGGAGCGCCATAGGGTGTGCAGACAGAACCTGGACTCTGCCAGCCAGCAGTTGCGGGAGCAGGAGAACAGCCTGGCCGTAGCCAGCGAGGTGAGCACGGGCTTGTGCTGCAGTGAGGGCCCTCCCACTCTGTGGGTCATCTTGCTTTATCTGTTATCCAAGGAGAGAAAATGAATGCATTCCCAGCTGCACCATGGTGGCATCATGACATTTTCAGTTTCAAATTACACTTTTTACTTGTGCATCTACAGTTTTTGTATAGTTGTGACCATAGTAAAATTGCTAGTTTTCTATCCTTTAGTTTGTAGTTAAGAAGTCAAGCAATCTTTGGTCTTTGTAATTGAGGATTTTGTCATTTTTGAGTGTTTGTTTCTTGTATTTCCCTCACGTGTCTCTGGCAGATAGTGTCTTGTGTATAGCCTGTTGGTACCTGTCACAGTGTTTTGTGTGGACAGAACCTAGAATCAGGGTGATAGGAGGCTGAGGCAGCTCTCTGAGTGTTGCAGGGTTGACTGATGTACCCTTCCCTGTCCTGGTTGGTGGGATGCTTGGGCACTATTTTCTTTTTTCCTAGAAGATGTAAGTAAGTGCCTCTAGCTTTGCATGTCTTTGATATCAGCAAAGTCTGTTACCATTTCCTGCCATCGAGGAATGCCTTTGAACCTGAGCACATGGAACTGCAGTCCATGATTAGGCTCTGAGTGTTTCAGAGACAGCCCAAACATTGGTGCTGGTGGGTACTGGACTCCTCTGACCTTCCTGTCCCATTTCTGCAATGTTCAAGATTGCAGGCAGCAAGAAGACCTGGATGAGCACTGGGCCTGGGTGAGGGCTGTGTGGTGCTATCAGTATTCCATCTCTGGGCTTCGTTCTCCTCCTGGTAGATTCTCCAGGTGGCTGCAGGGTGTTTTTGGCATGGCAGTGCCAGGGAGCATGCTCCGGTGGTTCCTGCATCTATCTGCTGCCATGATTGCTGGCAAGACAGGAGACAAGCCCAGCTTCCAGAGAAGCTGGCCCCTGCCCTGCATGCTCGCCTGTGCTGTGGGTCCCAGTCCTGTGTTCTGGGTGATGCCGCCATTCCTTGCCGGAGAGGAGCCACACATAGCCTCAGGAGGAAAGCAGAAAAAGTGGCCCTGTCTAGACTACTTGGGTGTGAAGTAGCACCTCCTCAGAAAGGTCCTCCTGGCAACTCAGTCCATGGTCACAGGCCCCTGCCCCGGACTGCATGCTTCTGTCATGCTTCTGAATTATAATGCTCCTTACTCTGCAGTTCTCCTGTTCACCTGTTTGTTTGCTGAATGTCTGACCTCCCCCATATCCGTCCTTCATTAGAATGGCTGTCTCTGGCTGGCCTTGATGTCCGGTGTGTGTTTATTAAGTTCATTAGGACCTCTCAAGGAAGGGCTTATTTTTGATTCCTTCATTCTATTTTGAGTGCCAGACTAGTGCTCCCTGTTGTCCTAAGTGAGATGTGTGGATTGCTGGAGTGGGGGAGGCTGTGTGGTAAATAGTACTGGTATATTTCAGTGGGCCCTGGGTTGGTGCAGCTTCTTTGGAGCAGGGAACTGAGTCTGTGGCCTCTATGTTTGCGAAAGGTGCTACTTGGGCAGATGCCCCGGGCCCCTAGTCACCCAGGTGGTGCACCAGCATCCTTCTTGTGGGGAGTTTGCTGGAACCACTGTCTTGCCTTCTGTGTGCAAGTTTCATGGAGTTAATACTAAAACATTTGCCTGATTAATTTTTGTGACATTGGGCTGGGGATGTGGTTCAATGGTAGACCTCTTGCCTTGTATTCACAAGACCCTGGGTTCAATCCCCAGTACCACCAATAAAAATAAAAATAAAAAAAATCTGTGACACTATGAAGTGGACTTGGCCAGTGTACTCTTTCCCTCAGAGAGCTTCAGTGGGAGGGCGCCAGATGAGTGTGGTGACAGGACAGGAGCAGTTCCTTTATGTGACTGTCAGTGTGTTAGTGGACTTGCTGTCCTGTCCTGGGGGCTTCTGGATGGGCACTGCTGGCTTTGCCTTGGGGTTACCACCTACTATGAGCACATGGCCACCCAGCAGTGCCCAGCGCATCTGGCTGGCCTGGGGGTTCTGTGTCCTCACTGACTGCTGGCATGGTGATAGGACTGATGTGGGTAAGGAAGGGGTTGTAGGCTGGCAGCATGATGACTACACCAGCTAGATGTGGACCCTGTGGGCATGTTACCAGGCATGAAGGCTAACTGGTATCAGGCCCAAGAGCCACTCATTCTGGCTTTTAGTTTGAGAGCCCCTCAGTGGGACCAGCTTTCCTAGACGCTGCTGTGACCTGCATCTGTCTCTTATCTCATGTGGAGCATGAAGCAAGGCCTTGCAATGGGATGGCTTCTGTCTCTGCTACCCAGATGCACCTTCCTCAGGAGAGGAGCTCTTCTTTCCCCAGGCAGCAGATGGGAGGTGACAGGCTCTTCTTTTTCCTTTGGTACCAGGAATCGAACTTAAGACCTCAGGCTTGCCAGCCAGGTGCTGTGCCGCTGAGCTCTGTTCCTGACCCAGGCTCTTCTTTTTGCCCCTCATCTCCTGTGAAGGCCAGGCTTGCCTCTATGTAGGCCTGGCCTCTGCATACTGCCTCTGTTTTCAGACGATTGGCACCTTGAAGGGACAAGTCTCAGAGCTGCAGTGGAGCTTGATGGACCAGGAGGTGCAAGTGAAGCGACTGGAGTCCGAGAAGCAGGAGCTCCAGGAGCAGCTGGACCTGCAGCACAGGTGAGGGGTGTGGACCCACAGGATGGTCAGACACTGAGTCACTTAGGCCGGAACAGTGAGTGCCAGAATAGGGGGCATCTGAAATGTTCGTGAGTTGGAACAGGGGTGGGGCAGCAGGCTTCCAGAGAAGGTGTTTTTCCGAGCTGGATTTTGAAGTGTGTGCAGGACCTCCTGGAGTTGTATGGGCTGTGGGTGGGAAAGGTTGTTCCAGGTATAGGGCATACAGTAGGCAAGGCAGGGATGTGTGAGGTGCTAGCTGGGGCATGAAGTTCCCTCCTGAGGAGTTGACCCTTTTCCTCACTAGTACTGTTGGAGATATGTCTGCTCCCTAGGGAAGAAGAGCAGTCATACTTAAATTGCCCCATCCCAACTTCACCAGGGCTGCTGGGCATGTGAGCAGAGTGGTGCCCAGAGTTCTGTGGGTCTAGATTCCTCACTGTAACCCCTCCCAGTGTTCAAGGCCTCAGAGCCAGGGCAAGCCACTCTAGGTCTTGGGTACCCCTGTACCATGTAGGTGTGGGTCCATGCAGAGACTCAGGCTGATCTGTTCCTAAACCTGATGTATTCTTACAGAAAATGGCAGGAAGCAAATCAGAAAATTCAGGAACTCCAGGCCAGCCAGGAAGCCAAAGCAGATCAGGAACAGAAGATTAAGGTGAGTCACTGTGTGTCAGGCTCTGGACACGCATCCTATAGATAGGGTAGTCTCTGCCCTCCTGCCACCCACAGACCTTTCTGAGCCAGTGGTGTTTCAGTGACATTTGTGAGTGTTAGCTGGTTGTCTCCTGCATGCCAGGTACCATGTTAGGTGCCAGGGAGGCCGTGGTTATTGGGATAGGCACTTCTGCTTATAGAAGTTCACATTCTAGTGGCAGATACACAAGAAACAAGGATAAAAGTAGATGTTGAAGGTGGTGGGAAGTGGGCTGGAGAGGTAGAAACCCTAATCTAGGGCTTATGATCAGAGCATGCCTGAGCTGAGTTCGTGTGATGCAAGGTCAGGCCTCGCTTCTTCACTGTGGGTGACACTTCTGGAGAAACGGTGTCTTGAGTTCCTTTCCATGGCTTTCTGTTGCCTTCAGAGTAACATCCAGGCTCTGTGGGAGGCCTGTGCTGCCAGCTGCCTGTGGTCCTCCAACAGTGGGTGCCTGGGCAGGTCTCAAGCATCCAGACTTTGCTCCTGTTCTCCTGGGCTGCCAGTTCAGCCAGCATCCTGGCTTCCTTCTCCTTGCACCTCATCCCTCCTTCTGCAGCCCCAGGCTTGTGAACAGCCTGATTTGTCTTTGGTGTCACTTGGTCCCTGTCATTTGATCTGTTCCCTAGACAACACTGAGCTCCACGGGAGCTTATTTATTGCCTTGGTTCTAGTTGCATACGCTGCTTGTTCTGTGACTCGTCACAGAAGCCAGTGCTGTACTGATGAGTCCCAAGGTGGCAGACTGAAGGAAAGTCTGTCCTCGCAGTTGGAGCACACTCGCTTGTGGCAGGTGCTGCAGGAGGCAGATGTCGCACTGAGAATGTCTGGGCAGTTGTGTGGCAGACTTCCGTTTCCTGAGACTGAGGGCGGGGCGATGGTATGGATGGGTGCTGGCGCACAGCAGGCAGGCTGCTCCTGAAGCACCTGGCAGGACCGGCCCACCTAGTGCAGTGGGGGAAGCCTTCCTGTAGGAGGGACGTCTGCTGTGCTGGCAGCAGGGAGTCCCTATGCTTTCACTCCCTGTCATTCCGCCTTTATGGAGTGGCTTGTAGGGGATCCTCCTGGCTTGTACCTTCCACCCTGAATTCTCTGTGTCCCTGCCTGCCTCTGTCAGGACCTGGAGCAGAAACTGTGCCTGCAGGAGCAGGATGCCGCCGTCGTGAGGAACATGAAGTCTGAGCTGCTGCGGCTGCCCAGGGTGGAGCGGGAGCTGAAGCGGCTTCGGGAGGAGAATGCACACCTGCGGTGAGGGGCCAAGGACTTGGGGCTCAGTGGAGGTAGGGTTTATGGGGCAGGTGCCTAACTCTTGCCCTCTAGTTCTACGCCAGCCTATGTGATTGCTGGAGTGACTGTTTTTAACACTGCAGGGAGATGAGAGATACCAATGGGCTGCTCATGGAGGAGCTGGAAGGGCTGCAGCGACGGCTGGGCCGCCAGGAGAAGATGCAGGAAGCTCTGGTCGGCCTGGAGCTGGAGAAGGAGGTGAGGGTCCTGGTGAGTGGGCTATGCCTGCAGGGCTCTCCTCTGCCCTCCCAGTGGACCCCGGGCATCTGTCACATGCGGCAGCTGGTCTCCTGCGCTGTGGCTGTGGATGTGGTGTTGTGCTGAAAAGATGAAACAGCAGAGGAATTACTGTGGGTGACGGGTGAGCTTGCTGATCTGCTGGCTGCAATGGGGGAGGACCCTGCCTTGTCCAGGTGGGCTGTGCACTTGCAGGAAGGTGAGGGGGCTGTCTAGGTGTTGCTGGTTGTGTGGATGAAGGAAGAAGCCCTAAGCCAAGCGATGCAGGCACTTCTAGAACCTAGAAAAGCAGGAGATGGCCTATCAGGAACCTCCAAGAGGAACCAGTCCTGGTCACACCTCAATTTTAGCCCAGTGAAACCTGGTTTGGGTTTCTGAATTAAAGTGCTGTAAGAGAATTAGTGTCGAGATCACTGAGTTTGTGCAGAAAATCTGTGTAGATGGTGAGTCAGGGAGGAAATGACAGGCGATGCCTGCAAGGCAGACGTGGAGGAGACCTGTGCTTGTTGTCTTCTCTCTGTGTCTGCCCTTGTGACTCACTGGTGGCACTGTGTGGGAAGAGGCCCATGCTTGGTAGAAGGAGACCGCTCTAGGCAGAGAAGCTCCCTCTGTTGCTTGGTGTCAATGAGTTGGTGCCAGAGCTTAGGCCTGCTGGCTCCTTGGGTCTTTGTCCTTCATGCTGCTTCCTCATGGTCACTCTTGCCCTCCTCCCCTGGTTTGTCTGCCATGCACCAGGCCACCATTCCCCATCCTGTCCCAGTCTGGAGGAGAGTAAATCTAAGTCTGCATTTTATCCCTGTCCACTGCCCCCACATTGCATCGGCCAACTCCTGAGCTGCCCCTTGGGTCCTGTGCATCCTGGTCCTGTTCGGAGGTGCAGGAGAGGTGAGGGTCCACTGGGGTGCAGACCTCCGTGAATAGTCCCAGCAGTGGCTTGCTGTTGGTATACTCCTCCCTGAGACGGGCTTTTGGGGTGTGGGGGACAGGCTGGAGAGATGTTTCCATGCCAATTACTTGTCTCTGTTTGCCTTGACGTAGTTTAAAGAAATTTAAGAAATTATTTAAGACTGGGGGCTGTGGAGCCATGCCTAGTTCAAAGCCCTGGCGTGGATGCTCAATGGCTGTGTGATGCTGGGCCTGTTCTTAGCTGCACTTTGTCTCTGTACACTCGAGGAATACTGACAGTGTCTGCCTCATGCTGGTACATAGTGCACATGCCACAGCATTGGGCGCAGGAATGTTGTCAGCCAGGCCCCTCCAACAGCTGGAGGGGCCTTGGAAATGTTTGGCTGAACCCCTGGTGATGCAGGGCACCAGGAAGATGTGAGAGGAAGCCAGATCAAAAGTGTGTGGTTCTTAGCCAGGCTTTGATGGTACACCCCTGTGATTCTTGGTCTTGAGAGGCTGAGGCAGGATTGCTGTGAGCTCAAGGCCAACCTGAACTACATAGTGAGACCCGGTCTCAAAAACAAAAATGAGAACAAAAAGCAAAGCAAAGCAAAGAAAGATAAACCATGTGTTTCTTGCTCTCAGACTGCTTCAGGTGGGAAGGCTGTGAGGCTCAGCTTCTGGGACTTGGGCTGTCTTGGAGCAGTGTGTGAGCGATGCCGCACCACTTTGTTCTTCAGGCTGGCCACCCTGGCCATGCGCCCTGGGGCCTGCTAGTCCTAACCTGCTTTGGGGTATGTGTATATGGGGTGGGGATTTGGCTGTAAGATGGAATTTCTTCCTGGAACTTGGCATCCAGGGCCCAGCTCTGCAGCCTGTGTCATATTCCTTGTAGCTTGCTGGTTCCTGCTTAGATTTATGGACCGAGCGGGGTGAGGCTGAGCACGCAGTGAAACTTCACCGGGGAGCAGTCAGGCTGCCTCAGAGCAGATGTGGAGCATTTGTCTGTCTAAGCTTAGGGATGTGGCAGACTTTCTGATACATCGGGAGACTTACGCTGTCATCATCCGTTTGCTTAAATGTCACTTGACACACACTGATGGGGACATGGCTTCGACTGTCTTTCCAGAGGCTGCTGACAAAGCTGCAAAGCTGGGAGATACTGGACCAGACCACAGGCTTGAACCTCAGGTGGGTGCAGCTGTCCCTCTCCCCCCCGGGCTGCTGGTGTCCATACCAGTCCACAGGCGAGTGGGTGGGTGGCGCCTCCTTGCTTGGTGTCCTCTTGGTCATGCTTGTTTGCGGCTGGCAGTGTGTGTGGTGGTGGTGGGGGGGCTCTTGTCTCATGCTACCCAGGTTTAATGAGGCGCTGGAGCTGTGGGAGGGAAATGGAACTGTGTGGCTCTTGTGTGCTGAAGTCTTTTACCACCTCTGCTGAAAACCAGACTACTTAGAGCAGCGAGGGGGCGGCTGTCTGATGCCCTGCATTGTCAGGCTTGTTAGAGGATTCTGTATGCTGAGGAAGTAATTGCTTTGGGGAAGAATCATTTCTCCTAGGTGATTGTAATCACCAGGGATGAACTGAGATTTAGGATTCAGAAAAAAACCCCTATCATAGCAGAGGATTCTTGTCCCATTTGGGCGCCTGTAGTATCTTCTTGCAGGCAGTCTATCATTGCCAGTGGGTGCGTACAGAGTGGGCCACAGATCAGCTGCTGGGCAGCCCACCTCTGGGTGCTAGGCATTGTGTCTGACAAAGGATGGAGGTGTTCCCATTGCTGATCCCATCTGTCCATTACTCGATCTCCAGCAGCACATCACCTGTGGCCCGTCCATTACCTGCTGTGGTCATTGCAGACTATTATCCCCTTATGGTTGTCCTATCTGCTCCCTGTCCCAAGGAGAGTGCAGCCTGGTCTCTCAGATGGGCCATTGGAACCTGAGCACAGGACTGTGGGGTTTAGGGAGCTTTTGTTTTATTTGCTTATGGGATATTTAGACTTTTGGCTTTCCGATTATCTTTCCTGATGCTCTGTAAAATGAAGCCAGGATCGAGACTTTCTTAATGAGCTGAGCCTTTGTGTCCTGTTGTTATATTGTCCGTTGCCATCTCTGGAACCTGCCAGCTTCTGAGCAGCAGTGTTGGCTTCAGTTCTTTGTCACTTAACTGTGCCTCTCAATTTTCTCTCTGCCTTGCTGATTTGTGGAGTGCAGACCAGGCTATTCTTCCATCTGAAGCCCACGGGCTGCCCAGCAGGGCCTGCTACTGTGGCTTCCTCCTCTTCTCTGGGCTCAGCAGCTACCCGAGAGCCCCTCTAGCTCCCATGGCTACTCTGATCAACCAGGAAGATTGTGTGACTTCTTTCCTTTAAGGGAGGTTAGAGGACCCTCATGCCCAGTTGGACCAGCCCTGTGGGAACACTGCCCTGCCACATGCCTGGTGTCTGCAGCATGACACTCAGTGCCAGCCAGGCAGGCGGAGCTGGCTGAGTGGCACAGACTTCTGTGGCCTTGTGGGAATGTCCAGCTTCTATCTTTGAGCCCGTGTCTGCATCTGAGAGTTCTGTTGTGAGCATAGCTGACATGAGGGCCAACTGGTCCTTGACTGCCTGCCATGTGCTGTGTTCTCTCCACTGTCCCAGGCCAGATTGTGATAGGGTGAGTGATACCTATGCTTGTTGCCAGCCTCAGGCTGGGTGGAAGAGAGGTTTGGAGGGATGCATGAGTGCTCATGGCGCTCTGAGACCTCCCTGGGGGAGTGGATCTGAGCCTGCCCCCACCATGGGTGACAAGACCCTCCACATGCAACTGCAGTCCATTAGTCCATTCTCATGGCTTCTCATGCTTGTAAAGATGGAGCAAGATCCCATCCTTAGCAGGTGCCTCGTGATCTGTCCTTTCAGGAAGGAAGAGGGTGCTATCCTCCTATGGGTGGCCCTCTTGGTTCCTGAGCTTTTTCTGCCAGGTAGCTTCTGTGTGGGGGAGGTTTTCCTTCTCAGGTTTCCTCTGTCTTCCTGGACCCTCTTGGGTTGCTGTGGGCGCTTTATGCCCCAGCATCACTGCCTCATATTTGCTGTGCATAACCAGTTGGGTGTCAGAGTACCTCTTGTCTTGTGATCATTTGTTACGTGACAGTCCATCAGATGCAGACACATGGTGTTAAACATGGTCCCTCATCAGAATCACCTGGAGTTTTGAGGGCTAGTGATTGAACCTGTGCTTGGCATGTGTGAGGCTCTGGGTTCAATCCTCAGCAGCAAGGAAGGAAGGAAGGAGGGAAGAAGGAAGGAAGGAAGGAAGAAAAAGAAAGAAAGAAAGAAAGAAAGAAAGAAAGAAAGAAAGAAAGAAAGAAAGAAAGAAAGAAAGAAATAAAGAAAGAAAGAAAGAAAGAAAAATTCTCCACTTTAAGCCAGGAGTGGTAGAACTTTTAGTTCTAGCTGCTTAGGAGGCCGAGGCAGAAGGATTGCTTGAACTTGAGAGTTTGAGGCCAGCTCCGGCAACATAGTAATTGACTGTCTTAAAAAAAAAAAAATCACCTGGAGTTTGGAGAAAATGTGGATTTTTGTGCTGATCTCAGACCCAGTGGGCTGATGTCTCTGAGGGTTATGGTAACCTTGAAGACTGCCAGTGCTGAGGATTTTGGTTTGCTTTTTCTTGCTATTTTAGGGGGTGGGTTTGGGGCAGTGACTAGAGCTGAGCAGAAAGAGGGCCTCAGGGAAGCCCGTGCTTGGTGAGATGGACAGTGGTTCTACAACTGGGCAGAAGGGAGAAGGAGGTTTTGCCCAGTGCTGTGTGTGGCCTCTGAAGAAGGAACCGCACATGAGCATATTCATTGTTCACTCATGGACACCTGTGACTTTGCTACCAGGTCAGACACCACTCCGTGACAGCCTCTGGAGGCCTGAGATGGACAGCCCACTTCCCCTACCAGGTCTCAAGAGGCAGATGCTTGGGTACCCTGGAGTGTTCGGCCTCCTTTGCCCTTTAGGCTGGGGTCTTGCCATCATTTGGGGCACAACTTGGGCTCTGTGGGTTCCCAGGAATGGCCACCACTAGGTGGCACCACTCCCCCTGGTGATCATCTTCAGGGAACCTGTCCTTGTCTCACTACCCTCACCAACGCCAGGGATCTGGCTGACCAGAGAGGGAGGGGTCTGTGGCCCTAGGTTCTGCCTGCCTTTGAGTGTGTTCTTTTTTGTGTTCCATGCTTGTCCTATCCTTGATCAACCTCTTGGGGCATCTCCTCAGTTCTGTGTTCTCCCGTGTTTATAGCAGTACTCTTAGCTGGGCCCTCCTCTGAGAACAGGGCTTGACTTCCCTGAGAGTCTCAGGGGTTCTGGGGCCTCAGCCCTGGGTTGGCAACAGTGCTCTGCCTACCACCAAGCTCCCCACACGTGACAGTGGCTGCCTGTCCTCAGCTTGGGATTTGTGTGTTTAAGAGACCAGAGACAGGAGAGGAGAATGAGCAGGTTGGCTGGGGTGCATCAGCCAGGGTAACCACCAGCAAGATAGGCCAAGCTTCCTTGACTGTCAGGCCGTGGAGCTTGGTGTGTGGGGTCACATGAGCTGGGGCAAATGGACCTGTTTAGCCTGATGTGACCAGGACGTGGAGTCATGTGGGCCAGTGGACGGATAGGTCCTTCCGTTCTCCTGTGATCAGCTGGGGGTGGACAGGTTTGTGATGTTACTGGTACAGAAGGTCATACAGACCAGGAGCAGATATGACTTCACAACCTGAGGTGTGACTGGGAGGGAGGAGTGTTAGCTGTGTGTGTGGTGCTGTGGCCTGGGGTGGGCATGGACCACTGGTGTGGGGGGTGTGGCTTTGGGAGTTGACTGGGGCAACATGAGGAACCCTGTCTTGCAGGAGCATGGTCTCTGGACAGTGAGTTAAAAAGTATGGGAAATAGGAGCTGGGGATTTAGCTCAGTGGCATAAGCACCTGCCTTGCAAGCAGGCAGTTGTGAGTTCGATCCCTGGTACCGATTTAAAAAAAAAAAAAAAAAAAAAAGTATGGGAAATGGATGATGGGGCAGACAGCAGCCTAGGCAGGACTGCCTGGGGGCTGGACAGTGTGAGAACAGGCGGGATAGGGTGCGGGTGAGGAAGGAATACAAGATGCTGCTCTTTAGAAAATCAATTCTGATAGAATAAAGTTGGGGTTGTACATCTCAGGAGACCAACAGAAGAAGCCTTTGTGATAGACTTGCCACTTGTGATTAAAGATTCTCAGCAAGTGAGGAAAAGAAGGGGAATCTCCAGGACAAGTACAGTGACTTTAATATGGGTGGGAAAAGGCAAAACCATGTCTTCTCACACTGCCAGGCGGAAGGACTGACCTCTGTGCCACCCTGGGGACCAGGAAGCCCCAGCGTCCTCGTTACTCTGTTCATGCAGTAGGTGGTGAGGCTGGTTACCAGACGAGGTCATTGTCCTCACCGCTCCCTCCACACAGATGGCAGGGATGACCTCTGGCCCAGTCCTGGAGCCCTGGCAAGGCTGTCTGTCCTCTCCGTCCCACTCACATTGTACTGGACGTCCCCACTTGTGCAGGCACATAGGAAAAGGTTGGGGTTGTCAGGAAGAATAAAACTGTCTCCAGTAGGAAGCAATGTAATTTCTCCCAAGGTGTCAGCAAACGTCTAGCTGGACTAATTAGTGATGTTAACAGGGTCACAGGACATAGGGACAGTATCCAAAAGTGATTATATTTCTGTGTTCTAGCAATAAACCATTGGAAGTACATAGTGTTTACAATGGCATCAGAAACACCGAATACTTAGGGATAAATTTAAAAATATGTTCAAGATCTGTTCTCTGAAACCCATAAGATGCAGCTGACAGTAATTAAAGATGACCTAATAATACAGGAAAATGGAGAGAAACTGTAAGAGGAAAAAATAAACTCTCCCTTCAGCTCTCCACTACTCACTCAGCACAGCACTCTGACACCAGATGTGGGTTTTTTCCACACAGCAAGCAATTCTCCCGCGGACACCAGCTGAGCATCTTACAATTCAGTTCAGACACTGTCTACTTGGAGTTAGAGTTAGCTCCCTTGGGGTGAGGGTTGGGACTCAAAGATGGACCTCAGATTAGCCACACTTCTGACCACCTGGCTCTGGAGTGGGCTCCCACACCTCTGCCCTTGGGTTACATTAGTTTGTAGAGTGATTCACAAAAGTCAGAAT